TTATACGATAATATATGATTATTTTAAAAGTCTACAAAAATTTAAAATCTCATATGACTAAAAGATATAATCAAAAAATATGACATATTAATTTGATTAATTGATTTTTCTATATTGTATATTATATCATTATAAAAATCATTTATTTAAAATTGAGAATCACTATATCTGTAATGACTTATTATCCCACATGATAATGTAATTAATTTAAATCTCTATAAAGATTTTTAAAATCTCATAGGGGACTTAAATAAATTATTAATTTAGATTATAAAAAAGAGAGTTAATTTTTATAATGGGCCTTTGGAACTTATATTAACATAGTTTTGCTCTCATATCTGTGAAACCTTATTGATTTACATGGCACGAGATTATCTTGAATATCTGCAGAGATTCAAAGTCTCACATAATAAAAGGATTAAATAATATTCACTTTGAATATATTTTAATGTGTAATTATATAATGTATATTTTTTAATATAGAAATCTTAATTGTTATACCTGCGAAGTCTTATTGACTCATGTAGTAGTATGATTATCTTAAAGGTCTAAAGAGTTTCAAAAATCTCATATGACCAAAAGATCTAATTAGAAAATGTGATTATAATTTAAATTTATTAATTTAAATTAATTAAAAATAAAAATATTTATTTACCATATAAATTGTGAATCACGATATCTGCAGAAATTTATTATCCTACATGATAATATAATTAATTTAAGTATCTATAAAGATTCTTGAAATCTCACATGAGACTTAAATATTTATTATAAAAATAAAATTAATTTTAATAATGGGCCTTTGGAACCCATATAAATAGCTATAAGATTGATCCTCATACCTTCGAAATCTTATTGATTTACACGATATGAAATCATTCTAAATGCCTATGAAGATTCTTAAAATTTTATACGACAAATAGATAATTGAAACATTTAAATTTGTAGTCGGTGCATAATATTATGGTTGGCTAAATGATTCACACAATAAAGGCAATGGAAAAAATAGAGAAATAAACTATTTTGACAATTCACTATTCTTTTGACTTGGGGATATATTCTAAAAAATTCAAATTTGGCATAAACTTTTAGCAAGATCATAATCATGGTAGATACGGCTTCAAACCACTATCACCCCACAAATTATCAACGATATTCTCACAGGCTTTTTTATGTCAAACACCTCTCAGATAATTTTAAATTCTTTATAAAAACATTTGATTCTTGAATTTTTTTAATGCCTAAACATACATTTGGATC